ATGTTTCTCGATGAACTTCTGTAAACGGACGATGGCCGAAAGATCTACTTTGTCGACAGCAAACGTAACATCAGTCATGGTTAAATGGGGAGAGTGTAATGGATTTATGTGTTATTTTCGACAGCTAATAAAAATCGACGCACAATCGACAGAGAAATATGTCAAATATTTCAGTTATAAATGAATTTCAACTTATCTCGAGTCTAAGGATTTTGAACGGTTGTGCACAAACGGGCTGGTTCGTCTTCCTGTTTTCCTCGCCCTCCGATTTTGTAATCGTTAAGTTGCTGACCATTTTTCTTGACAAGTGAGAACCTCTTTTAACATCAGACTTTCTTTCGTAGTCTGCGAAATATTCGGGCCCTAAAAATGGACAGATTTCCATCGGAAATACGACATTTCTTGGCACACAATTCTGCCAATTCGGTTGCCAGCTCTCTCAGAAGGCTGAACGGCTTACGCACATGTGTGCTTTCGTCAAGCATCCTCTTTAATGGGCTTTAAAAGTCACCAACTTCTCCTGCGCCGCCTCTCTCTTCTTTTCACTACAGGCTACAAATTCAAGATGGTAACTGTCACCTATTCGCACATTTGACCGTCTGATCCTGACTTAGAGAATCGTCCATTGTCATTAATCCCATTAGTTATTTGTCATTGTCGATAACCTCCATGCGATCCTCTGCTTGAACATTCCAGCCAAGGTTGATCCCCTTTTGGACTGCTTACGCGGCTGCGTGCTCAACCGCACGACTGTCCTCTCAATTGGTGAATTGTTTTCTTTACAACCTTCTGCAAAAATCTGTCATTAACATAAGTGCTTCTCCCCTTATTCCGCAGTTTGTATTCCAACCTTCGGAAACCACCAACTATCAGTTCCGCAGTTACGAGATCCAATGTGTTTTATGTCCCGTATCCTCGCCGCGGACTCTTCTGTGTTCCATTAACCCTGGCAACTGTCGTTGACTCACCTGCAGATCGCGGACACGAAGTTTGAGCAAATGAAGCGACTTGGCATTATACGACGGCTTGACAGCTACTAGGCGTCCACACCTCCCCCCCCCCTCCTCAGAAGACATCAGGTGAATGAAGACCATCCAGCTAATACTGGGAACTCAACAGCTTCACTATCCCAGATTAGTATCCAGTACGCCATCACGAATACTTCGTCGAAGCCCTAAACGCAGTGTGATTTTTGAAGACTGGCATGGTGCATACCTTTCGCTAGATACCTACCGTCCGGGACTGCAATTGAAAAAGTGCTGTTAATGTTCATCTTAACTTTACTGACCTCACCCGTTTGTCCTCAGCATTTGATATGCCACCCATACGTTCCCGAAATTCATCGGAAGCGCATAAATAACAGCAATGACAATAAATAATAATAGCATTAATTGCCAGGTTACAAGCATTGTCAAAATTTATGTGCAAGGATCGAGCAAGCAGTCAAAAATCTCTTGAGCTCCAAGACAGCTAATTTGGATTTAGGTTCTTAAGGTAATTCAGGAGGAGAAACTGTGCACCCTAAAATGATGGCAATTCAGAAGGGAAATAAGTGACATTAATACTAAGAGTTCAGTTCAGTTCAGTTCAGTTTATTGAGGGAAATAGGCGTAAGCCTTTGAGTACCCTATTTGCAACGTAAAAAATGTGTGGTGTACAGATAGATAGATGAGAATGAGTTACAGGGGGTGAGCTCGACTTCTCATCGCTCTTCGTCATTTCGGAACATAAATATGTCCAGATTCTTCTTAAAACTTTGTATAGATGGTGACATCGCAACATATGTGGGAAGCTCATTCCATGGTTTGACCACCCGAACCGAGAAGGAGAACTTCCGCACATCCAGCCGTGCGTGCTGAGTGAGCAGTTTTAACGGGTGACCTCGGTGGTTGGTCGTGGTAGCAAATTCAAAGAAGTCCTCGAAGGCCAGACTGCAATCCAACCCCTTTACAATGCGGAAGGCTTGCAAGAGATCTCCGCGAAGTTGCCTGTAACTCAAAGGAAAGAGGTTCAGATTTACTAGGCAGGTTGCATAAGGAAAGGAGCTTTGACCCCTAACCATCTTCGTGGCTCTCCTCTGGACTCTTTCGAGGCAGTTTTGATCCTCAACAGCCCACGGCTTCCAAGCTTGTATGCCGTACTCTAAATGCGGCCGGACGAATGTTCCGGATGTCTTCGAGAAAGCTTCATCGTCAAAGTCCATAAACGCACGCTTGATGGCGTACAGTTCGGACATTGCGCTTTTTGCCACCCTCGAACAGTGGGCGGATGGTTTTAGGGAACTCGTCGTAAGCACACCGAGGTCCCTTTGGGCTTCGACCTCTTGTAGGGCTGCATTGCCCAGAAAGTAGCCTCTTGTGCTGGCGGATCTGGCTGTGTTGCCTAGGCGAAGTATGCTACATTTTGCAACATTGAACCGCAGGAGCCAATGGTTTGACCACTCCTCCAACCGATTCAGGTTCATCTGCAGTCTGTCTTCAACGGCAGGACCCTGTATTACACTCCATATCTTCATGTCATCCGCAAACATTGCTACTTCACAGTCTAAATCTCTTGCGGCATCGTCCACGTATAGAAGGAACAAAATGGGTCCCAGAACTGAACCCTGGGGGACACCACTATCGACCATAGCCGGATCTGATTTTCCCCGACCGATGCACACAACCTGGTGTCGACCCACAAGGAAGTTTTCGATCCATTTGAGGAAGTTGCCACCGATCCCTATTTTTTTCAGCTTATGTAAGAGCCTTTGGTGTGGCACAGTGTCGAACGCCTTCTAGAAGTCGATGAAGGCTATGTGGACCGCGTGCCTGTCGTCGAGAGCTCGGGTCCAGCTCTGGAGAGATTGCAGCAAGTTTGTCGTGCAGGATCTTCCTTCCCGGAACCCATGTTGTCAGTTCGATAGCAGGCCGTGAACTTCCAGGAATTGCATCAGTTCACTCTTTATGATCCTTTCCATAACTTTGCAGAGAATGCATGTCAAGCTTAGGGGCCTGTAATTTGTCGTCGCTGCCCTGTTACCTCCTTTGTGTAGCGGAGTAATATGCGCCAGCTTCCAATCGATAGGAAGTGTTGCAGTGTCGAATGACGTTTGAAAGAGCATCGACAAAGGCACAGGAAGCTCACTGGCAAGTTCCTTGAGAAGCTTGGATGGAATCTCGTCTGGTCCTGGCGACTTCGCTTCGTTCAATGCCTCTAATTGTCTTCGGACAATGCCTTCTGAGAAGAGTATATCGCTGACGCTTGGAGTCGGCAGTTCTTCTGTGGAGGGAGGAAGAAACCTTGCCTCGTTTGTGTAGACTGACTGGAAAAACCGTGAAAAATACGGAGCTTTTTCCCTACTATCAGCGATCTCAACGCCATCAGTAGTCTTTATCAAGGGGATTTGATGCCTGTTCCTTGTACTTCGTCGGAAGTAGCTGTAGAGCAATTTTGGGTTCTGCGTTGCTTTTTGTAGCAAGTTCTTTTCGAATTCCCGCCGCGTCTTCATTATCAGCTTCCTCAGTCTGTTCCTCTGTGTCTTGTAGGTATTGAAGCATTCAGCTTGTCTAGTGACGCAGTATTTTCTCCACAATTTATGCTTCCTGTTGATTTCTTTCTTGAGGTTGCTATTTAGCCACCCAGGGCGTTTGTTAGTCTTACATTAATCAGTGGGCAGTGGTTGTTGATGAGCTCCGGAAGAACATTCTTGAACAGCTCCCAGTCATCGTTGGCACTTCCCGTAAACAATGAGCCCCAGGGAAGACCGGATAAGTTTGCCCTCATCTGATTGAAGTCGCCCCGCCAAACATTACGTCTTTTGTGGTCTGGAGTATGTGAAATGGAGAATAACGAATAATCCCACATAAGCACTACGTGGTCACTTTGGCCAAGGGGCGGCATGGAGGTGATCACGTCTATGCTGTCTGGTGTTTTCGTAAAGACTAGATCCCGGCAGTTTGCCCTTTGTCCTTCACGTGTTCTCGTTGGGAACATTACATGTTGTGTGAGGCACGCATTTAATGTTTTGCTCAACAGGCGGTAATCGAATGCCGATTTTGCACCTGACGCTTGGAGGGTATTCCAGTTTGTTCCTGGTGCGTTGAAGTCGCCCATGATCATGATGTTAGGTCGACTGGAAAATTTCTCCAACTGCTCCAATAGTTGAGTTTCGGCGATTCGGTCTGTCCTAGGTGGTCGGTAGACAGTGAGGACATCGAGACACGGGGAACCGGTAGCCTTGATGGTCAACCAGATAGCTTCCGCATTGCACGCAAACTTGGTGGTGTTATCCGACACTGCCAGACCTTCATTCACATACACAACGATACCACCACCCTGACGATGTTCCCTGTCCCTCCGACA